CTGTGTGTGTCTCGAGTGTGTGTGTCTGTGTGTATCTGTGTGTGTGTGTGTGTGTGTGTGTGTGTGTATCTGTGTCTCTATGTCTGGTTTGTGTGTGTGTGTGTGTGTGTGTGTGTGTGTATCTGTGTCTCTATGTCTTGTGTGTGTGTCTGTGTGTGTAACTGTGTCTGTATGTCTGTGTGTGTCTCTGTGTGTGCCTGTGTGTGTATCTATGTCTGAGTGTATCTGTGTCTGTGTGTGTATCTGTATGTCTCTGTGTATGTGTGTGTCTGTGAGTGTATCTGTGCCTGTGTCTCTGTGTGTGTGTGCCTGTGAGTATGTGTTCAAATATGTTCCTGCCAGTGACTCCCCTGCTTATTTTCTCCTAAATGGACTCCCGGGTTTCTTCCCCCATACACTGTCATGGTAGGAATGCCCCCCTCTGGTGCCCACCCTCTCTGAAGCAGCCCACGATGGCATTGTCTTTCACACTCTGTGACTTATATCCCTAATGGAAATGTTCACCATTCTCTGATCCCTGGCTTCCCAGAACAGGCAACAATGGGGAAGATGGATATTTGCTCACTAGGATCCCAAATATAACTTAATGAGATTTAGAAACAATAACATCAATGCTACATGTGTCTCTGAGATAACTAACAAATTAGATTCTGTCAATCCCGGAATCTGAGAAATGGCAATATTCTAGGAAAGGAAAAGCACTTCCAAGAAGAGCCTTGTGGGCTGAGGAGAAGTCTCAGCTGTTAAAAGCACTGGCTGCTCATCCAGAGGACCAGGGTTCAATCCCCAGCACCCACATGGCAGCTCACAGCTAGCTGTCTGTAACTTCATGTCCAAAGGATCTGGTATTTTCTTCTGGCTTCCATGGGTACAAGGCATGCAGGTGGTACACAGACATAAATGCAGACAAAACACCTGTATACTTAAAATGAAACTACAATAATAAGTCTAAACAGAAGAGGAGGAACCTTGCCCAAACATTAAACAGAAGACAGCATTAAAGGTTCTTCCTTGCATTTTCTTCTGTTTTCTCTCTGTATGTCTATTTTTTAGGCCAACTCAACTTTTGAAGAACTGGATCGAGTTAGGAAGCTGGTCAAAGCCTGGGGAGAAGTGGGACCCCAGATCTGGTACTTCTTTGAGAAGAGCACACAGATGACCATGATCAGAGTAAGGATACTCACAACATAGGGTGGGGATGAAAGAGAAGGGCCATAGAGATAGTTCATCACTACTTGAGTCAGATCAAGCAGAGCAAACAGAACTCCAAAGCACTAGTCTGCAAGCTGTCACCAAGTGGAGTCACTGGCATTGGGTTGGGAATATGTGGGGAGGAATTTAAAAGTTGCCACAAAGATCAGCATCTTTCCCATGAATTTACTTGAAGGTCTCAGGTTCAAAAGGGTGTCTCCTGAAGAGCCACTTTTATACTACCAAAATGGTTGTCACTTGTGTCTGTATGGCCTCATTTGCAACTTTGTAAGGCCAAGGGTTCCCAATATCAGGGAAATTAAAATGATCATCACAAAACAGAAGAGAGCCATAAAAAGGAAATCTTCTGCATCAGCTTACATGGTCATTAATACTGTTCCCACACTCCATCTTGTCTCCCTCCACTCTAGAGGCCCTTGTGTCCAAAGAAAATTATAGATGTCCATATACCTTGTTATGGGAGGAAAGCCTACCAGCTTGTTTAGTGAACCTAGTATCTCAGTCATTAATCAGGAAAACTCTGAAGAATAAGACCAAAGAGCCTATAGAATTCTTAATTTCTGTGACTGTGTTTCTTCTTCACAAGGATACCCTGGGGCACCCAACAGTAAAAGACTTTATTAATAGGCAGCTTGGAGAAGAAGGTATTACTACTGAAGCCATATTAAACTTCTTCCCTAACGGTCCCCGAGAGAACCAGGCTGATGACATGACCAACTTTGACTGGAGGGATATATTTAACATCACAGACCACTTCCTACACCTGGCTAATCAATACCTGGAGGTAAGAGGCATCAATCCACTTGAGGACCATAGTGGGCCTCTTAAAAGTAGTCTCATGCGTAAGGCTTGAGATGTGTCAGCCGATCAACTGGTATTGGCTTCGGTCTTTCGTCCTTCCCATGAAGAAGTAAGAGTGCCATGGTCATCTAGCAGGTCCTCTTCTTTGGGAGCTCCTCGGAACTTGTGTGAAGGCTTCCTCACATCTTGCTCACTTCATGACTCCTCTGCTTCTCTCCTCCTCCCTTTCTCCCATCCATCCTCAACTTTCTCCTATCTGCCATTGTTCCAATGACCTTCTATTGACCAGTGTCCACCAAACCTGAATCCATGCCTCATGGATTGCTGAACACCTCTATCCTGAAGTCCTTGGGTCTATAAGATCCAACATGTCTCAAAAAAAAAAAAATCCTTTCCTAGTAAACTCCTGAACTTCTTATGCCAATTAATTGCATCAGCCTCTGCTCAGATTCTCAAGCCAAGAACAGCAGGGTCATCTTAATTTTTTCTTTCTTCTTCTTCCCTCTCAGTGAAAGAGTGGTTATACTATGTTACTTGGTACCATTTCTGTGTTACATGTTTTTGTCTCTACTTGCCTTATCTCATCCTCCAACAATTCCATGAAGAGTGCAGTGTTATCATTGCCTGTAAGTAGACACAGAAGCCAAGGCTTAAAGGAGTTGAATACGATCCCACAGCCATTAGGAGTACCAAACAGAGTCCAAATTTGGGTGTGCCTGAATTCAGATCCAGCCCTGATGACCTCTTTCTTCCCCTGTCACACCCAGTCAAAGTGTTCTGTCTTTTCCATCTCCTAAATATCTCTCAGTATTGCCTCTTCTTGCTCTCTAGGCTCGGTGAGGGTTAGAGGCCTTGTACCAGCCTGTCCAAGCAGCTTTCTCTCTGAATTCCAAGGTTCAGTCTCTACTAATCCAGGCATTCCTCCACACAGACACCAGCAGCACATTCCAAACACACATCTGCCTGCATCACTCCAACGCTTAAAGTCTCAGTGACTCAACAAAAAAGCATCCAGCCTATTCCTCTTCGTTGGTAGGGCCTCAGCTGTTGGCAGCGCTCAGTGGTCATCATTACACCAAACATTCCACAGAGGGAGGGAACGCCTTCCTCACAGCGTAAGCAACACCCCCAAAGGGACCCCTGCTCCACCAGTCTTTGGGGGCCTTAGTGCCTCAGGAAGGGAGTAGTTTTGCTGGGAAGCCTGGAACACATGCTGCTGTGGGGACTTTCCTCTAAGCAAGATTCCTATGAAGTGAGGGAGGAATTGTGTATCTGCTTAAGCCTCAAGTGGCTTTTCCTTTTGCCACCATCTATCTGTTAATTCTTTGCTTGCTTTCTTTGTGGTGCTGGGGCTAGAACCCAGAGCCTTATACATGCCAGGCAAGTGCTACCATGGAGATGCAACTCCCTAGACCTAGTCATCCATTCCTTGACACTTGGCCCTCGAATAAGCTTAGAAGTTCACTCTTCCATGATCTGCAGCCCTCTCTTCATACCCCTCAGGCCCTTGTCTAAGTTCAGGCACAGTAAGCTGTCTGTGTCCTCCTCCAGCTTGAATAGCTAGATGGATTACTTGGCATCAGTGTGCACAACTGTATCTTCAGATTCTCAACTTCAGCCCCAGGGACTTACACCTCTGAAGGCTGATCACACCCAATGGGCTAGGCCTCAACCTTCAAAAATCTAGGGCCATTGAAAGATTTAAGGTTGCCGGGCATAGTGGTGCTCACCTTTAATTCCAGCACTCAGGACATAAGAATAACTCACTAGTGAGAAAAGGCCTGGCTTTATGTGTTCACAAGGATTCCCTAAAACCCTGGAGCCACCAGCATTTCCCTAGCATGTGTGAACTTCCTTCTCCTGAATCCTGGACATGGACATTACTGCACACGCTCCAAGGTAGTTTCTTAGGAAGTACGAATCATGGTGGCAGTAGCGCCAGAGATGAGGCAATTCCCATCTTACTGGAAGGCAGGGATGGCCTTGAGAGCTTTTTAGAGAACAATCTGAGCCTCAGCCCTGACTAGCTGACTCAGAATTTCCACAAAAGATCCCTGGTGTCCCGTGCTTATTTACAGATCTATTAGACTAGGGCAAAGAGGCTTGCTGCTCCCATGTACAACTGCAATTGATCTCTCCCTTCTCCCTCTCTCGCAGCTAAGCCCATGTCGCTTGGCTTGGCCCACCACCACTGCCACTGTTGTCTTAATCTTAGTACAGACAGGACCTCTGTGCATGGGTGAGGGTGGACATTGGAGGGGGTTTTTTGTTGTTGTTTTGTTTTTTTCTTCTTATAGTGGTTCTCACAACATATTTGTGAGGTATATGAAAAATAATTCTTGTCTTTGTTTTTGTTTTTTTCTTTTTCTTCTCACAACATATTTGTGAGGTATATGAAAAATAATTCTTGTCTTTGTTTGACTTGACATTTGTACTATGATGTGACAAGTTTCTTCCTTCCTTTCTCCCTTCCTCCCTTGCTTCCTTCCTTTTTCACAGTACCAATTGAGCTATACCCCCAGCCCTAAAGGAGTTATTTTCCCTAAGCGTCTTTTGTTTAATATACTAGCAATAGATGCTTAATGGTTATTAGTCTCTTAAATAGTTAAGAACTATGTCTCCAGGTTGAGACTTTCCTAGACTCAATCCTCTAGTGTTTGTTCTCTGTCTCCATATCTGTGAAATGTGGATTTTAGGAGTACTTACCTAATACTTGGCTTCTTCTGAGAATTAAATGAACTAATTCATGCAACACACTGTTATTTAAGACGCATTATCAATATTAAATGTTAATCAAAATACAAATAAACCTGGTCTAAGTAGGACCTGACCCCCAGCCGGTGCCCCTCTCAAGCTTATGAAGTTACTGACCATATTTCTAGCTTCTCAGCCACTGGGACTTCCCCAGGGCTTTGGAGAGCAGACCACTGTGACCAAAAGTCAGTGGCCTCCCCATGGGGAGCCCTACAAGGCTTTCAATAACAGCAGAAGTCATGATTCAGTTTCTTATCTTCTTGCCCTTGGGAGTGGGGGAAGCAAGCAGTTAGGGGACAGGAAGGAGGAGGTACAGACAGGCAGTGAAGGACAAAGCCACCGCAGTCCATCCTGGGCTTCTGCATCCGCTCTTGTGTTTTGGGCCATCTGCAGGAGCCTTGAAAATTCCACTCCAGAACACCTGAGTGGCGCACTTGTCGTGGAACCCTTCTCTAATGGTTCTAAAGGTTTCTGTAAGACAGGGAAGCCAGTGTGTTACCACCTACGCCTTACCTAAGAAGGCCAGCTTGGTACCTCCTTTTCTTTTTTCTCCATTTTTTATTTAAATTAGAAACAAGATTGTTTTACATGTCAATCCCA